TACCTTAATTCCTAAATAAGAATTTCCTAAAAAAACAAGAAAATTTAAAGGAAAAAGTTAAGTTTTCGCCCAAATATTGTCTCACTAGAAAAAAAAAGGAAGAAAAAATTTTTTTTAGAATATTCCGAAAGTTTACCAGTTTTATACTGTAAACTGAATTAAAATTTCATTAATCTGAAATTTAGATACAATTTATCATAAATGCTTCAGTCGGATGGTTTTGCATTATCCGATTAGAACGATAATTGTATCGTTCTAATAGAACGATAAAAAAAATTGTTCTAAAGAAACGATAATGAAATCGTTCTGAAAGAACAATGAAAAAATCATTCTAAAGGAACGATGATGAAATCGTTTTGAAAGAACGATGAAAAAATCATTCTAAAGGAACAATGAGTATCGTTCCAATAGAACGATAAAAAAATCATTCTGAAAGAACAATGATGTATCGTTCCGAAGAATGATAATAAAAAAAATCGTTCTTTCAGAATGATGATGTATCGTTCTGAAAGAACGATAAAAAAATACATTGTTCTTTCAGAAAAGAATGATAAATATATCGTCTCTTTGGGACGATTCTATCATTTCAAAAGAATGATAAAAAATACATTGTTCTTTCAGAAAAGAACGATAAATATATCGTCTCTTTGGGACGATTCCTATCATTCCTTTGTGATGATTCCTATCGTCCTTTGGGATGATTCCTATCGTTTCTTTGGGACGATTTCTATCATCTCTTTAGGGACGAATATATCATTATTTTAGGACGATTTCTATCGTCTCTTTGGAAATGAATGTTCGTTCCTTTAAGGACAATTTCTATTGTCTCTTTGTGACGATTACTCTTGGAATGTTTTTATTATTTTTGTAAAAATTAGCGTAACAGATTTTGACCAGTGAGATACAGTCGATTTGTTATCAAATCTTGAGTCTTACTGAAATTTTGCTGAATATTATAACTGAAAGGTCTTAGAGCTGAAATAATGCTAAATTATGTGTGATGTAACAAATTACTATCTATTTTTGTAACTTAAGCCAAATTTTTGCTGAATCACATAACCGAATTGGCTGAATGTTTACCAAAAAGTCTAATGCCGAAATAGTGCTAAATTATGTGTGATGTAACAAATGACTATCAATTTTTGTAACTTAAGCTGAATTTTGCCAAATCACATAACTGAATCGGCTGAATGTTAACCGAATGGTATTAATGCCGAATGAAATGATTTCGACTAGTGGATGGAAACTTATATATCTTCAATGCATTTTTCCACGTATATCGTAGCTTCATCATTAACATCAATATTTTTAATATGATTATTAATTATGCTCCTATCCGAAATATCCTATTATAAAGTGTCCGTTATAGAATTTTATAAACATATGGACACCAAATCATGTTATGTAAGTAATTATGATTCAGCTGCATTTTATTCGCAAATTTTTGTAGGAGATCACATACACCAGCCTCTTCTCACGCACTGCATTCCTTTGCAAGAAGTTGAAGGCTAACAATATCTGATAGTAATAATGCCTCTAAGAAAGATTCTACCGATTTACTGATATGTTTCTTCTTTTCTTGAATAGCACTTCTTGTCATACTCATCAAACGATCGATCTTATCAGTCGAGAGGAAATTCTTAGCACGAGAGAAGTCTAGACTCAGAGATATATTCTCCTCACGAAAATCTAGAACACCCCACCAAAGTGGGCTACAACAAAAAGTGAGAACATTAGTACATAACAAATAGAGGCGAATAGGTAGAAATAACTTACTTAGTGTAGGCAGATTCATTGACATTTTGTATAGATTTGACGGCATGAACGACAGTAATGTATTCATCGAATGATACATTAAATGTAGTATCTACTTTGACCTGTATATTAAAAATGATTTAACAAAGGTATAATATCAGTATGAAATAATAAGATAAATGGTACATAAATTAGTTTTAGTCTAACCTTCTTGTTGAGATCTGGTATGTGTAAATTAAAATTTGATTCACAGTCTTGAGAATCTTCCATGTGATCCTGGATGTTGAGAAGACAAGTAAAATTTACTACATAAAAAAAAACATGAATATAAAACCAATTTTTTAATACTTACGTGATTTCGCTTCCCAGCATGTCCCTTTACAAATGACTTTAACTTATCAGATAAAAACGTTCTTGCGTCTTTTGAATCTTTAATAGAATCATCTATTACGTCGGTAATGTATCCTAACTATTTTACAAACAAGTAAGTTCTCGATGTATATAAATAAGCAAAACACGATCTACAAACTGATTCTTTTTCAATCTTGTCTTCGTAGCATTTTTTTTCGATTGTTGTCCAGAAGTTACATACACTTTCAGAAGTCTTCTCGTTTTTTTTATATGAAAGAAATAGGATTAGTATAAAGCTAGGCTTAAACTACCATATTACTAAAAACTAAGGATTGATATGAGTGGACCATAGTATGGTACGTAGCCTGATAAACTAGTTAGTACATATCCATCCAGTTGCATTCAAAAATGCTCGAGAGAAGATGTAACTCCACTCTCACCAGCCAATGCGTATAATCAGTTAGCTACTCGAGGGTTATCAATACATCACGTAAATTGTCTCAGTAACCAGAACGTTTTCTAGCCTTGAATCATCTGATTGCAATAACATAGTCTATTAAAGAACACTCGAGGGAAGGTGTAACTCCACTCACACCAGCCAATGTGTATAATCAGCTAGATACTCAAAGGTTGTCAATACGTCACGTATATGTCTTGGTGACCGGAACGTATTCTAGCCTTGAACCCACAGCAGTACGTATCATACAATATTATTATACAATATACTTAATCTCAAAATTAATTAGACATCTTCAAGCTTGATCACTATCTTTGGATAACAACACCAGAGCTTTTTTATACAAATTATGCTTTCTTACTTTATCGTAAGTAAACTCGTCAACTTTCGCTCTGTAATTAAGGAATTAACTAGCGACCAAATTGTATTCTTCTCGAAAAAGTTATCTAATAATACTTGTAACATTTCCTCTGTCAAAGCAGTAGTTGACATCTTAAAGCACGAAGAAAAAATAGATATCTGATGAGAAATTCGATTGTTGCATAAATCGGTAAGCGAGATTTGTGCTACAGATTTATTTCACCTTGCGCAGTAATGTGATGCGTAAACAAACCCCTCACATGATCGGTCTATGCTACAATTGCGAACTTCTTGAAATGTTACAGGTAAGACAATATTCCAACTTATCTTGGGAATACAATTTCGCTAATTCAGGATCATAAGGGAACTGATTCCCATTTTCGCGGTACCATTCACCATGTAATTCATAATTCCCATGTTTTCCATCACAAATATGGCATGATGAGTTCCATAATGCAAAATTATAATTATCAATCCCTAAAATTATTTCTGAATTTCAGGTATGTGAAATACTCTAAGACGGATTCAATAATTAATTCTGGATAGGGTTTGGCTTCGTAAGTGATAGGTTTGAAATCGAAGGCTTGAGGTTTTGCTAAAACACTTATCACAACTTCTGATAATTGCCATGGTTTACATCCAGTTTCTTTTTATATCTTTTGTATAATTTGATACAAATCTTATCCATCAAAATGCTTAATTTGACATACCAGTCCAGATATTTGGGAATTAATATTTTATCAGACCTGGTCATGTTGCTTTTTATATGAATCAATTTAAATTTAATTAGGTAGTAGTTGATCTGTAAAAAATAGTTTCTCAAGAGAAACGCAAATGTAATATTATAAAATAATGAGACTATGCAGTTATCTCAATTTCGTGCTGTTCACATTTAATAAAATAGGATCCAGTTTTATATCTACCTTCTATGCTTCTTCATCACTATGGTCTAACTTGCATAATGAGCATGATGTCTTGTCAGTAACTCCATAATAATCAAATTTTCACTAATAAATTCTCTATATAAGTTAGGATATTGATCTAATATCTTATTGCGAAAATAAGTGCGATCATAAGTTGGTTTAGATTGAGATTCTGATAATATATTTGCTGATGTATTTACCTCAGCCTTAATCTGATCGTTTCCTGAGAGAACAGGTTTTAAAGTCACATAACTCTGATGAATACTAGTATATTTTTTTACTTGATCTATAACATTTTGGATTTGTGCATTAGTTAGTTTCAAAATCTCAGTTACATTATATGAAACCAGCTTAATTTTATCTATTCCAACTCCATTTTTTCCAAATAACATGAAATGTTTTCTAGCACTATGAGTAAGGTTGCTTGTCTAAACTCATTTTGGATTTGGAAAAATGGTAAAACCTTTAATTTTGCTAAATTTTTACTAAGTATTTGATATAGTTTCGCCATTTTTCAAGCTTTAATATAGTTTTACCTTTTTCCAAATTTCACAGATTTTTTAATAAGGTTTTAATATAATTTAACTAAGGATGGTATTGCAATTGTTTTTTCAAATCTGCAATATTGCGGATTTTTGAATCGAATTACGCATAGTAATCCGCAATTCTGCAATTCAAATCACGTGATTTGTTATGTAATTTGTGAGTAATTCGTGTAAATACATAATCGCAAATAATTAGAGATCTAGTGATTGGATTTCGATGTAATT